GATATTTATATGCAGTTTCCTCAAACCGATTATAAGTTCATGGAGGCCAAAGAATTGTGTATTTCTGCATACCATTCATATACTTAACACACAGTTGTGTCTATAGTAAGTGTTCACTAAATGTTTCCTGAACGACTTCTGACCCAGCCTACAGTAGAGGGTATTGTTACATTAATGATTATGCCGGTGATTTTTGGTGGTATCTTATTTGCCTAGCATGTCTTGCCTCCTCTTCTTCCCAGAATAACTTGTGCTTATCTTCTAGGGCTTAGCTGAGGTGTCGCATACCCCAGAAGCCTTCCCTGGCATCTGTCTCCAGGCTGATTTAGGTGTCTCTCTGTATTGCCTGGACACTTTTATTCATCTCTCTATGTTGGCATGCATTAAAGGGGTTTGCTCTGTACCTGTTTTTACGTTGCTAGACTGGGAACCCCTTGGGGATAAGGATTGTGTCCTTTTCAGGGTTATGTCCTCAATGCTATGAACAATGCTATGGATACTGATGAAGAAAGGAAGGGAGGGAGGGAGGGAGGGAGGGAGGAAGGAAGGAAGGAAGGAAGGAAGGAAGGAAGGAAGGAAGGAAGGGGCAAATGAGTAAATTAACAAAAACAAACAAAGCAATCCTAGTATGGTTCTAAGAGCCTGCATGATTAAAAGAGGTATAAGAAAACCATTCTCAGTTAGTCAAAACTTCTTTATGAATATGGATTAGGTAAAACCACGGTACATCCCATTAACTCCATGTAATTTTAAATACTGACAACGTGTTAGAAGTTGCCACCTAGAAAGCGATACTGCCAATCCCCTGGCATTTCAGGCACTTTGCTGCTTTAGTTCTGGGAGTGGAGAGTGTATCTCTGGTCAACCACCTCAGCCCATTGCCATGATTGGGCGGCCTCTGAAACTTGCCCAGGGGAAATTTTCCACCTTCAGGTTACACTTCCAGGCATGATTAAAAGGATAACAAGCATTTCACCAACTTCTAGTTCATGAGTTGGATGCTTTCCAGGTGCTAGTGGGGAGGGAGAAAATTCTAGATGATTCTTCCAAGGATGGGATGCGATTGTCTCATTTAATATACTGACTTTGCTGACAGCTCTGGCCCAAACCACCTTCTGATCCACTTGGGGACTGTCCATTGTTCTCCAGTGTATGATTAGCAGATTAGCTATCATGTAAGAAGCCAGGAAAATGAACTTCCAGGAAGCCCTTCCAAAGCAAGAGTAATTCATTACGCAACCTGATTTCCACTTAAAATGTACTTTAAGCACACTTCCAACTACAAACCCTAAATCACCCCGTGTCCACAAAGTCCATCATTTTTTATTGTATCGCATAGCGTTGGCGTGACTTAATCCCTTGCAGAGCATCTCGGAGTGCTTTCCAGATCCATAAATTACTCACCTGCACAGTGGAAGTACTGCCTTCAAGGCCACCACCATCACTCTGCAGGCAGCCTGTCCTCTGAGAAGCGAGCAAGACGGGGGGTGCCAAGGATGGGCAGGAGCAGGGGTCAGGAGGATGTGTGGGTCGGTGGAGTGGTGCTGGGAGAACTGAATACTCCAGTTAAAACACTGAATAAATCCCATCAAGATTAAATGCTGTTAGAACTAAGAGAGTTTAGAAATGTGGGTCTTTCAGATAGTCAGCAAATTGGGTGTTCTGTCCTTAACTCATCAATTATTATTCTGTCTTGGAAGATTCGATCTAGCTTTCAAAGTGACAAGGCCATTAGTTGCAACATGATGTCTTAGAAGCCCTGGATTGTAGAGCCAGTGTTCATTCCTCAACCCTCACCATACTGACTCTCCATTGCTTTTGTCCCACCAAATACCTGTAAGAGTACAGGTAAATGTGTGTGCAATCACACACACACACACACACACACACACACACACACACACTGCATTTCTATCTGAAGATGATGTGAATTTTAACATAAACATGATGAATTGTGCCCTAGCTTGGTGGCTCAGTTGGTTGGAGCATCGTCCCCTATACCAAAATGTTATGGGTTCAATTCCCGGTCAGGTCAGGGCACATACCTAGGCTGCAGATTTGATCCCGGGTCAGGGCACTGATGGGAGGCAACCAATCATTGTTTCTCTGTCACATTGACATCTCTTTCTCTCCCTCCTCCCTCTCTCCCTCACTTCTTCCCTCTTTCTCCCTCTCTCTTTTTCTCTCCCCTTCCTCTCTCCAAAATCAATGGAAAACATATCCTCAGGTGATGATTAAACAAGTAATAAAAATTAAGGTCCTTACTTTATGGAAGACACCCTATTCAGAACAGCAGATTTTTTTTTTAAATGAGAAAGGCTCTTGCTCATTATCTCATCTTCTGATAATTCATAGCATATAGAGGAAAGATGAGAAAATGTATCATAACAAAGTAAATTTAAATGCTTTGAAGAAGCTATGGAATCCGTAGGAAGGGAACGGCCACACCCTTTTGCAGATGGTGCAGAAGACCTTATAGAAGGTGTGGTAACACAACCAGGCCTTGAACAATTCCAATAGGTGTAGGTAGTTGGAGAGAAGGAGAGAAGAGTCTAAGAGATCACACTCAACATAAGGGCAGGAGGACAAGGAAACAATGTGCAACTCGTGCTTATTAATGAGTTGTCCAGTATGTGCAGTGTGGAAAGGAGTGGGGGAATATTTTAAGGAGAAGGAGGAACAAAGGCTAAGGGAAGACATCTGCTTGATAACCCCCTTTTGTCTGAAGGAGGATATCCAATGCAATAAAAAGTGATAGATTAATGCTTCAGACAGAGGAAAGATGAGCCTTGAGATTCCCAACCATCTCATCTCCATGTGAGGGTTGCACTCTGGTCTTGGAACAGGGCATGGGGGTGATGGTCAGGTTCCCTGGGATCTCCAGGAGGCCAGATGGCATTGTATGCTGGTGGATGATGTGCCCTGGAATTGCCCGCTGTGGTGGCTTTGACAGGTGTTTATTCAAGGAAAGAAACTAACTTAAGAGAGCTGGATGGAGGGGCCAGTTAATTTGTGAAGAATTAATGAGTCAGATCTATTGTCAGTAGAACTGAAATGGTGTGTGTTAACGATCCGGTTCTGAGGTTGTTACAAACATGTAGCAGGTTGGGAAGGTGCTGGAACAACCATTATAATCCCCATCCTATAAATATCTGTTGAGCTTTGACTACAGATATAAATATAAGTCACGCCATCAAAAAGCTCATGATCTAGTGCAGTGGTCGGCAAACTCATTAGTCAACAGAGCCAAATATCAACAGTACAACAACTGAAGTTTCTTTTGAGAGCCAGATTTTTTAAACTTAAACTATATAGGTAGGTACATTGATATTAACTTAATTAGGGTACTCCTAAGGCTTAGGAAGAGCCACTCTCAAGGGGCCAAAGAGCCGCATATGGCTCGCAAGCCGCAGTTTGCCGACCATGGGTCTAGTGGATGAGAAATGCTACAACAATAACCATTGCATAGTGGGATAGGTGCCAAGTGACATTCTTACTTTATAAAGCAATTGGCAGACAAATGAAGAATCATACATGGACCAAAAATCACATTCACTAGTTTTGATGATACTGGAGAATTAAGCTTACATGTGTAGCAACAATTAGCTCCTCATTCTGAACCCCAGATGAGATGGATGGACACAGGCAACTGCTGGCTGGGCGGTGAGCCCTCCCACACCTGTAGGCATTGGCCTGTGACACATGCTCTAGGACAGTGGTTGGCAAACTGCTGCTCAAAAGCCACATGCGGCTCTTTGGCCCCTTGAGTGTGGCTCTTCCACAAAATACTGACTTCTGCGCATGGGCCACAAAGTTTCAGTCGCACTGTACATGCATGCCCACACATGGTATTTTGTGGAAGAGCCACAACAGAACATAGCTTCTTACGGGGAGCCTGGCCCCAAAACTAAAGACCAAACAGAGTGGGGTTCCCAAATTTACCAATTAAAACGAACCCCTCCCTTCCTTTGAGGAATTGTTTTAGGGGTCCAAGAGAGAAAGGGACCAAGTGTGTCCGGCTAATTGACATTTTTTGATTCACCATCAGGCTGTGAGTAGGCAGATGAGGAGCAGCTGGCATGTAGAGTTGTGCGGGAGGGCAGAGAGGTGCAAGGGTCAGAAAAGGTGCAACATTGCCCAGCCGGTGTGGCTCAGTGGTTGAGCGTTGACCTATGAACCAGGAGATCACACTTCAATTCCCAGTCAGGGCAAATGCTTAGGTTGCGGGCTTGATGCTCAGTGTGGGGCATGCAGGAGGCAGCCAATCGATGTTTCTCTCATCATTGATGTTTCTATCTCTCTCTCTCCCTTCCTCTCTGAAATCAATAAAAATATATATTAAATCAGAAAAGAAAAGCTGCAACAAAGTGGCATTTGATTTGGACCCTAAAGGATGACTGGAAGTTTTCTAGGAAGGACATAAGGACCAAGATAGACCCCCAAATGCTCAATGATCAGAAAGGGCATGATGTGTTGGGGGTGACAAGGGGATAAATTGCGATAGAATCAGCGGGAATACCAATGGAAACAGGTTGATGCTTGATTCTGAACGGGCCTGCTATCCCAGGACGAAGCGGGTGGATCTGATCAGCTGGGCAATAAGGAACAATTGGAGTTGTTTAGGCAGAGATGTGATACGCTCAGAATTGTATACCATCAACTCTGAATGCACTGTGGAGAATGTCTGGTGGATGCGTGTCAGAGGGGACTTGGGTGAGAGTGCAGACGGAAGAGAGTGGAGGCGAGGACAGTAGTGTGGCATTGAAATCCATTCCCATCAGTACTTCCTGGCTTTGGGTTTAGACAGGAGGAAATAGACAATAAATTCAAGGTAAGATGTTCCTTTTATGTTTAAGATAATTCCTCTAATTTTTCTCCATTTGTTCCCATCACCCTTATACTTCAGTCCCCGAGCTATTCTGCCAGCTATTATTGTGAGACAACAAAGAGATGTTTCAACAGGATATTTATTTTCCTTCCACTGGCTTTTGTCTCCACAGTATCTCCCAAAATTGTAGAGATTTCTTCAGATATCTCCATTAATGAAGGGAACAATATCAGCCTCACCTGCATAGCAACGGGCAGACCAGAGCCCACGGTTACCTGGAGACACATCTCCCCCAAAGGTAAGAGAGCAGTTTGGTGCATTGTGTGGAGAAAGGAACTGAGAGAATTGCTGGCACAGCTAGGAGGTCATGGTGCTGGTGACTTCATCCAAAGGGTCCTTCATTGTTGGTAGCCTGGTAACAATGCTCGAGGCTCTGCGAGGGTTTGGTGTTCTCCAAAAGACAGGCCTATCCTCTAAGGCAGTGGTTCTCAACCTTCCTAATGCCGAGACCCTTTAATACAGTTCCCCATGTTGTGGTGGCCCCCAACCATAAAATTATTTTCGTTGCTACTCCATAACTGTAATTTTGCTACTGTTATGAATCGTAATGTAAATATCTGATATGCAGGATGTATTTTCATTGTTACAAATTGAACATAATTAAAGCATAGTGATTAATCACAAAAACAATATGTAATTATATATGTGTTTTCCGATGGTCTTAGGTGACCCCTGTGAAAGGGTCATTCGACCCTCGAAGGGGTTACGACCCACAGGTTGAGAACCGCTGCTCTAGGGTTTTAGCGACCATACTTGAGCTCCTCTCCAATCCCTGGGAACTGCATCCCAGCTGGTGGTGGATGAAATGGGGGTAAGATCTTCTGGGAGAACGTCACTGGCCATATTTGATGGTGGACAATTTGCTTTCATGGCATTGTTCAGCTGGTTGTTTTATGAGAAGGAAAACACGAACACAAAATAAATGAGAGCTCCGAATGGCCACATTCCTAAATGCACAATTTCCAAATCGGGGCTTGTTTGGCATTGCCAGATTTCCGGTCTCTATTCCGTTAGTTGTTTTGGAGCCTTGTTGTTGTTTTACTGTGATTAATCCAAGATGACCAAATTGCAAAATGTACTTTGTCTTGATGCTTAGATGCTGTATAGACCAGACCAGACTAAGTGGTGTTTTGTGCTTTCATGGTTTGAACATTAAACATTTAGAATCTAAGTAGATGTCATTTATCATTAAGCTGGCTTTTATTCACGGTACATTAAATTATTTTATTTGTTCTTCAATATCTCTTGAATGCTGGCAATAATCTAGGCACACGTCTCAGCATGGGGGATATAGCAATAAACCCAAACAAGATCACATTCTCATGAGGAAAATGACCATAAAAGGAATGTACAAGACACGAGGCGGTGATAAGGATGAGAAAATAGAACCGTATATACTGAGTAAAAGAAAAGAGGTTTGGTCAGGGAAGGCCTTTGAGAAGGTGATTTTGAGCAGAGACATGAATAAAGAGCCTTAATTTCATTGGTTATTGTGAACGTACACATATGGATGGATGCGTGAAGGTATGCACATTGCTGAGTAGTAAGGATGTTAAAGGAACTATAGTGGTAGTTGTTTGCTCGATGTTACAGGCCAGGTGCCCCAAAAGCGTGTAAGACTTTTTTTCAAGATGCTCTCGGAACCAACCTCTGTAGAAGGAAGAAAAAAAGAGAGGGTTGGGTAGTTGGAGAAGTTGAGTTGCACTGCAGTCACTTGGAATATCTCAGCTGACAGGATGGGGGGCGGGTTCTGAAGCTGGGGTAACCCTTCAGACAGGTTCTTTATTTGAGGTGAGGGGGCTGGCACAGCAGTCTGTTGCTGAAGGTGGTCTGTCCGCAGAAAGGCTGTGACCTGGGCCAGGCATCTCTTCACAGGACACAATCCCTGTAGAGCTGCACCTGAGCGAGTGCTGTCCACCACCAGCACACGACCCCTGGGGCAGACATCCTCTCTTCCCGAAGGTGGCAGTGCCTCAGCATCCACTACACTTGGGGACATTTTAAAATACCTGTCAGAGCTGTGAGGGGGCCTCAAATACCAAATCCCCTTTCTTACTTGTAGACATTGACACTTAGCCCTGCTGGAGGTCTTCGGAGAAACCATGAGATGTTCAGTGTTGGGCCTGAGTTCCCAGGAGCTGCCCCAGGCCATCATTCCTGACTCTACCCCAGGAGCAAAGGCATCAAAGAGCCTCCTGTGTCTGGCAGTCTCTTGATGGATGTGAAATGACGTTAAGTGAGGACAGGCCCATGATCCGGGGAGAGGCCTCAGGCATGTGTGAGATCATCACTGATGAAAGGGGGCCCTGGCACCTCTGAAGCAGGGGTCCTCCCAAAGGACAGGCTTCCGAAGACCGTGGTGCCCACCAGTCAGCGCTGCCTAATGCTGAGTCCCCAGGGCTCCTGGATGCCAGGGCCGCTGGGCCTGCGACTCTGCAGGGCCTTTATCATCCCAGTAGACGTGCTTCGCCTTTTGTCAGGCAGAGGCCCTGTGGCCTTCCTCTCGCAGGTCTCCCTCTGTCTCCTGTGTGAGGCCTTTTCTCATGTCCCTCTGTCAGGCAGAGGCCCTGTGACCTCCCTCTCTCTGTCTCCTGTGTGAGGCCTTTTCTCATGTCCTCTTTTCTCCCTCCTCCGCTGGACCTCTTCTCCTTTTGTGTTGCCCTTGGATGCTTTTTCCTTTTGTCCTTTGCTTTCCTTTCTCTCTCAGCCTCCCACATGTTTCCGCTTTAATTTCATGTTTCCCCCACATGTTTTTCTTCCCCCCTCTTTCTCTTCTCCACGCAATTACTTGCGTCTTCCTTCTGACAGTGGAGCCCTCTTCCGTTCATGTCCCTGAAGTTCGCAGCAGTGTGCCTTAGACTCCTCTTCCTGTTGGGGGGCCGTCATGTAGATTCATTTCCCCGGGGGGCTTTCCCTGCGCCTGGCTCACAGGAGTCCTTTTTATCAGGGTTTTTAGCTGCTATGGAAACAGAAGCTGGATCAAGGGGAGCGAAGCAGGATAATCAGAATCTACCTGTGGCTCAGTGTAAAGGAGATGAAGTCTTTCCAGATCCCTGGTCCAGATGAGCTATCCCAGATTCAAACTGATAAGACACGGGGAGCAGAAACAAATCCCCAGGGACTCGCCAGGCAGCCGCCCTCCCGGTGACGGATGGTTTGGGGATCGGAGCTGCCACTGGGCTGCTGCCAAATCAGAACCGAAGCTGCAGACACTTAGCAGCTAGACCTTCATCTTTCCCCACTAAATGGCTCCAAAGGATGCGTATCTTAAACAAGTTAGGGCAGGCGTGAGGTTCCTCGGAGAACAAGGTACAGTGCACCTTAGCGAGGGCTCCGAAGGGAAGAGAGAGAGCGGCTGCCACCTTTGTCCCATCCTCTGTGTGTGGATCATGTCTCATCCAGGATCATTCTTACACACACCCCCATTAGAAGCGCCTTTGGTGACCCTGATGGCTTCATTGGATCTTCTCTCTCTGGACTGATCTGTCTGTTCTGTACATTTCTGAATAATCCAAGCGTCCTCCATCATAATACATGTCACTACGTGCAATAAGCTATGCTGCCTTTGAATATGCATTTCCAGTGGTGACCACCTTATATGTGGAAAGGGGAGGCAGAAATGTCAACACCGTTTTACCAGGAATGGCTCATAAAATTCCATGCACAGAAATTAGAAGGATGGAGGTGGCAGGGACTTGCCCCTAAGGTTGTCTGCCTAGCACTTCATGTCAGAGGGAGAAAATGTCAGCTGTCCATATCTAAGAGAAAGAGGGGGGTGAGGCCTCCCAAGCTACCTCTCTGCATCGCCACTGAGCCTGAGAAGTAGTTTTCCACCTATTATGATAGCATTAGAGGCCTGGTGCACAAATTCATGCACGGGTGGGGTCCCTCGGCCTGGCTAGCAATTGGGCCAATCAGGGCCATCTCATGGGAAGTTGGCCAGCTGGGGGAGGGACCATGGGAGATTGGCTATGGGAGCACACTGAACACCAGGGGGCAGCTCCTACATTGATTGTCTGCCCCCTGGTGGTCAGTGTGCATCATAGCTACCGGCCAGTCATCTAGTCATAACAGTCGCTTAGGCTTTTATATATATAGATACTTTTTAGTTCCTCATATGAAGTTGCTACTCCCAAGGGTTCAAGGACAAAGTGCATTAGCTGTGCAAATATACCTGCCCTCATCTGCACTCCTGCTGGGAACGTACAAGTGCTGTGCACACCTGCCAGGTGTTTGCAAAAGAAAATGCCCCCATCTCACAGTCTCACACCAAAATGCCAAATCCATCTTGATGAATGTTTTACTGGCCCTTCTTCAAATCCCGTGTAAATGCTAGGAGCCTACTCAAGGGGCCAAAGTACCACCAGTGTGGCCATAGCCCCCTTCAGACACATGCCCCATTCATGACTCTGCACCTTGTATTTCTCCTGGTCTAGGGATATAAGAATTTGTTAGCACAGCCCTTAAGCGCTAGTGTTTCTATCTTCAAAAGAATGCCTTTGGTGTTCTTGATTCCTCAAGGTCTTCCCTAAATACCCAGAGATACCATCTCTGTAATTGTATCCTAAAGGATGCTTTTAGGACCTCACTCTTCAGAGAAGAGTGTTCTCAAAACCCAGTTTTTATGTTTCCAGTTTCTGATGGATGGCAAGATCTTTGAAGAGAAGGCCAAGATTCCAGGGTCTTCACATTCCTGGGAGGAGAACATAGAGTTGAGGTGAATGCATGACTCCAGTCACTGCTGAGTGGATTCCGTACATTGGGGCAGGGATCACTGGGGGTCCTAATGGAGCTCCCACATGGCTGTCCCTCCCTTTCTCTCCCATCAAATGAAGCACAGAAAATGAAACTCTCACGGAAGCTACTGAAAGAACACCTTGTGCCCAGATACTGGTTGGGGCTCAGTAAGGCCCCGGATGCTGTTTACAGAGATGCCCCGATCTCTAATTAATGAGTTTTCTGAGATCAGGGCCTGCCTCTCAGTCATCTTTGATTCTTTGCCTCCTAGCACAATGCTCAGCACCTGGAAAGCATTCAAGGAATATTTGTTGATTCCGAGAGCAAGCACTTACTTGTGCCAGTTCCCGAAGGGGCACGCCTCTTCCCCCGTCCGAGGGCTTCATCCAGCTTCATGAGGAATGCTACTGCACTTTGATGTTGCAGTCGCCACTGCATCTTTCCTCTTGATCTCCGCTGGCGAGTCTTCAGGGCATTTCTCTGGCCTTCACAGGCTCTTCA